TCTTCTCTTCTCTTCTCTTCTCTTCTCTTCTCTTCTCTTCTCTTCTCTTCTCTTCTCTTCTCTTTCTTTTCTTTCGTATACTGTTGGTTGGTTGAGCTCCGTCCCTCTGAGCTGTGGGAAAGAGGTGGTTTCTGCCGTCCACGTTATTGCTCACGGCAGCTTTGTCTTCTGCTTGTCTTTTCTCCAAGGAGATGATAGAAAGTGACGTCTCGTCCATAATGTCAGGAATTATTCGACACTCAGGGCCAAGTCATCACCGCTCTCCGCAGGAGTACAGGTGAGGGCCTCAACCAGAACAAACGTCATGTTTCGTCATTGTGTGAAGGGGTGCGTGCTGTTGATGGTTCCTGAAAACGATTGTTACGTTGCATTGTGGGATTCTGTAGGAGAGCTGGGATGTTCTGATTTCCAGGCTGGTCTCTCCGAGGGTGCTGAGCTCATGGCCCGGGGCAGTGGATCTCTAAATGCCTGTGGTCCTTTGTCCTTTGCAAGAGAAGCCCTCTCCTGATTTAGAGACTGGGCATCCTGGCGAATGTTAAGATGACAAAAGCGGCCATGGCTTCCCCTCCGTTGTCCCTAACAGGGCTCCAGGAAATGCCCCCAAAATTGGAGTCTGGCTCCCATCCTCCTTGGTGCACTCCTGGGTTCAACTCCTGGCTGTGTGACTTTGGACAAGTCCCTTGCCCTCTCTGGGCCTCCGTTCCTGGTCAGTTAAATGATGCTCTTGAATTAGATGGTCTTAAGGTCCCTTCTAGATCTCGTGTGTTTGAAGAATAAATGAGATGGAGACTGAGGCCAAAATACAGGACTTCTTAGATGGTCTTAGATGGTCTTAAGGTCCCTTCTAGATCTCGTGTGTTTGAAGAATAAATGAGATGGAGACTGAGGCCAAAATACAGGACTTCAAAATACAGGATGAAGGGAAATACAAGTGTGGGTGTGGAGGTGGGATGTGTGGGAGGCTTCACCTTTTTCTCTTCAAACCTCAGGCCTAGAAAGGCCCTTCGGGGGCTCAACTAGTCCAGCCCCTTCTTTTACAGATGGGGAAACTGAGGCCGAGAGAGGAGAAGGGGCTTGTGCAGAGTCACACAGCAAATGGGAGGGATTAGAAGGACCTGGAATGCCCCGTCCACCCCCCACAACCTCTCTCCCTTGAGCTCTGAGAGGCCTGACATGGTTCCCAGCCCCACCCCCATGGTGAGCACCAGATTATGGAGTGGGAGCAGGACAGGGGCCGGCCTGAGATGAGCAGGCTGTCACCTCACGTCCCCCTCCGCCTCCGGTGCCTTGTGGGGAAGACCCCCACTCCCCCGCCTCTATTAGAGGGAGGCGGCTCCCTGAGGGCTGTGGGTCTGGAGGCTGCTTTCTGAGGCCCCGATGAGGCACAAATGCAAACACACATTTGCCGGGAGCCTGCTGTGTGTGGAGCTGCGACCCCAAGTGTGGGCCAGGCACACAGGAACCAGTGAGCATCTGCTGTATGCTAGCCCCTCCCTTCCAGCACTCATCTCAGCCTGGGACGCTGCTCTGATGAGTCCTATTGTACAGGTGGGGAAACTGAGGCCGGAGACATGAAATGGCCCTTCTGAGGATCATACAACCAAAGGCCTCTGGGTTTCCCGCCAGCACCCAAGGGTTTAAATAATGGCAGGCGGAGTGGGGGCAGCGTAAGGGTTGTGAGTTTGGGCTCTGGAGTCCATTAGAATCCCAGCTTCTCTGGCTGTGGGGAGCTTTCTGAGCCTCAGTTTCCTCATCCATAAAATGGGGATAGAGGTAGCACCCATGACCTGGAGTTGTTATAAAGATTAAATAACAATTTCTGACTCTGCTGCTTGCCCATGGAATGATCCTGGGACAAACGATTTTTGTCATTCACATGGGTTCAGGGATGTTTTCTCATGTGAAACAGCTAATATGTCCAGGAGGCAGAATGACAGCAGCAGCAGCAGCACCATCATCATCATCATCATCGATGGTGGTTTCTTTCTTTTTTTTTAAATATATTTTATTGATTTTTTACAGAGAGGAAGGGAGAGAGATAGAGAGTTAGAAACATCGATGAGAGAGAGACATCGATCAGCTGCCTCCTGCACATCTCCCACTGGGGATGCGCCCGCAACCAAGGCACATGCCCCTGACCGGAATCGAACCCGGGACCTTTCAGTCCGCAGGCCGACGCACTGGTGGTTTCTTAACCCTTATTACCTGCCTGACCTGGGCCACTGTGACCCCATCAGAGTAGCACTGTTGTGCCCATTTGGCAGATGAGGAAACCAAGGCCCGACCAGATTAAATGGCTTCACAAGGTGATGCCGCTCGTTATGGGCACAGTGAGAACTTGCACCTGAGGCTGTGGCCTCCGCAGGGTATGGTGGCTGCCACCCGCCATGCCCCATTGGTGAAGAGCACAGGTGCTGGGACAGAATACGTGGTCCGACCACCCCCCAGCTGTGTGACCCTGGACAAGTCACTGGCCCTCTCTGTTCCTCAGTTTCTTCATCTGTGCAGCGGAGCAATGAGAGAACCCAATTGTCAGGTTATTAGGAGGCTCTGCGCCCCCATCTAGAGAAGTTGTTTAGCCAGGACTGGGGCAGAGGGGACGTTTTCATGATCATACACCAACTCCCTGGCCCCTCCCCCACGAATCCCACTTTCCCCTGCGTAATGGCCCTGGAGAGGTTTATGGGCTTCTCATCCGCCTCCCAGGCCTCTGAGAATGGCTCCAAGGACCCCTCAGGGCTGCTGGTCCAGCCTGGCTCCAGCCCCCTCGAAGCCCCCCACGCAGCCCTCCAGGCCGTCTGCCCCTCCTCCCTAGGGGCCCAGTATGGCCGTTAAATTTCAATAGTTGTGTTCAAGGAGGGGTGGGGGGAGTGGGCAGCAGCTGGAGGCGGCCGCCCTGTCCCCAGGGAGTCAGTGGCCCAGCCTAGACAACAAATTGGCAGCAATCTCCCCGCCTGCAACCCTGTGGCCAGGGGCCAGGGGTTGGGGCAGCCCTGACCTCCCGGGCAACGGCAAACGGCTTGTGCTCAATGTGGGTTAGCTGCTTTCCCCCTGGCTCAAAGCCTCTTAGAAGCGCTAAGAAATCGTTATTAAGCACCTACTGTGTGCCAGGCACCTGCTAAGCTCCTTAGCAAGTGCACCATCCCATTTTATCTTTATGGCAACAACTGTGAGACAGGTCCTGGCATTATCCCAGCTTCTAGACAAGGTGGCGGCTCCCCCAAAGGCATGCACGCAGGAAGGGGCTGGACCACAGATTTTAACCACCTGCCTCAACTTCTGGAATGTATTCTAGAGGTCAAGTCCAACAACCCCCTTTTACAGACTGGGAAACTGAGGCCCAGAGAGGTGAGAGAGGCTGGCTGCCTTCTCCCAGGACCATGCCAGACCCTCCTCTCAGAAATTAGGTGACCTTGGGAAAAACCCCTTCTCCTTGCTGGACAATGGTTTTCTCATCTGTGAACCACAGCGCGGGGCACACAATAGATACTTAATAAATACTCGTTGGGTGGCTGGGTGAACAGCGTGTGAGATATAACACACCCAGGCTATATGATCGTGATGACAAAATCCTGCCCCATGGACCAGACAGGCGGACACCACTTGCCTTTCCTCCAACCTAAAAAAAACCCCCACCCCTATCGGTTGTAACCTCCTTGCAGAGCGTGTGGGCTCCATCTGTCAGAGGCGGGACCGTCCCAACATCCTCACAGTCCTTCACTCTCCTGGTGCCTGGACAGCTCCTCAGCCTCCACGGTGGGCAAGGCAGAGGGCAGCCTTGCTGAGGTCTAGCCCTCCTTCGGGGTCCTGCAGTCCCACCCCCAGAAACATGCATGCAGCGTGCGCGCACACACACACGCACACACATACACACACATACAAACACAAACACGCACGCACACACACATACACGTGCATGCACACGCATATACACACGCGCACACACATACACGCACACACATACACAAACATACAAACACAAACGCGCGCGCACACACACATACACGTGCGTGCACACGCATATACACACACGCGCACACACATACACGCACATACACACACACACACACACGTCCCAAGCCAAGTTCTAGAAAGGGAAGAGTCCCATTTCCTAATTCCTAATGTAATCATTTCACATTATGCTCCCTCCCCCTTGGGCATTTCTGCACTTGCTTTTGAGTTCCTTTTTCCTGGAAATGGCTACAAAAGACATGTTGGCTAAATAAACACCCCTGTGAAATGCTTAATCCCTTCCGTGTAAAGGTTGAATCAGAAACAAGAACAGTTTGTGGTGAGGTAACAGTTTCTTACTAACCACATCTGGAGGAGGCAGGTGAGACTTCTTGTAACGAGCGTGGAGGTGACATCCCAGGGAGGGCCCGGCATGACCCCCTAGTGACAGTACTTTCTGGACAGATCCCTCCCAGTGACCATGAAAGGCAAGAGGAGAGAACGCAGTGAGGAGGCAGGAAGAATCATGGTTTGAGCGCCTCCTGTATGCTGGCCACTGTCTTATAGTTTATCTGCCCTCTGTCTTGGGAATCATCGTTACTAACCCATTTTACAGATGAGGAAACTGACGTGCAGGGAGGTGAAGTGACTTGTCCAAGGTCCCACAGCTACAAAGGGGTTGACATGGGATTTGTACCCCCAGCAGATGTTCCTTCTACTGCTCAATTGCTATATCAACTCTAAGGAACCCCAAGATAGGAAATAGAGGGTTCGCTGTGGGCTTGACTTCAGCTCTGTAGGCAAAGACCCCCACAGAACTGTACTCCATCCACAAATATGTGTGGCCCTGTGTGGGCACCTTTGCAAGAACATCATCGCATGTCACCGTACAGACAGGACAAGGGCCCTGGGGTCCAGTTCGCCTCGGTGGACAAATATTTGGGAGAGAATGAAAGCCTGGACTGGTGTCCTCTGAGTCTGTATTCAGGTGTAGGACGAAGTTATCCCTGTCTTCCAGGAGTTTAGCGTCTACAAGGCGGATGTAGATGAGAAGAGATGCCCGAGGAAAAGTAATGGGTGATCGAGGGAGTCTGTGTCACGTGTAGACACGAATGGCACAGATCATTCTAGGGGATGAAAGACTGGGAGATGCTGATTGGTCTGGGAGGGCTTCCTGGGGGCAGTGGTATCTAAGTGGGCAGAAAATGGAGAGAGATTGCGGCATGCAAGATACGTTGGAGCTGGGATGGAGGCTCTGTCTTCCTTGTTTACTCCAGCAGGTATGTAATAAGTGCCCACAGGCTGCCAGGCCTTGTTTGGGGAGCTGAACAAAACAGAGGGCTCCCCATCCTGACCCTTGTAGAGTGAGGCTCAAAACGTGTATAAATGCAAAACAAAGGGCCACTAGGGTTCAGGGAGTGGCCAGGAAGGGACTCTCAGAGGAGGGGACGTTTAGGCTGAGATCAGAAGCCTGAGAAAGAGCCTGCCGGGAATGAGTACATGGAACAGCATTTCAGGCAGAAGGAACAGCATGTGCAAAGGGAACAGACTGTTGGAGGAACTAAAAGATAAACAGGTTTGCCAGAGCAGAGGGGATGGGAAGGAAGAGAAGGGAAGGAGGGAGCCAAGGGCCAGATCATGGCAAGGGGCTGGACTCCTGCTCCCTGACAAGTTTTCAAGACAGTGACAGGTTCTGACGTCCCTTTTGAAAGGCCACTCTGACCGCTGGGGGTTTCATAAGCGCATCTCCAGCTCTTGGGCCGCTCACTGTCCTGCACTCTTCCCGTGGTTTGCCTGCTCGCCACCCCAAGCCGTGTCCACGGGGGAGGGGCATCTGGGAAACCCAGGTCTGTGTGCTCATTGTCCAGCCGTGAGGACTTACTGAGCACTGTGTGCCCAGCCCTGGGTTGGACTCCAGGGGTCCAGCTCCTCCCTCAGGGGGGGCGTGGTTTCTGCTTCAGCATCCGGATCTCCTGGGGCCTCCTGCACCCAGCAGGGCACTCTGCCCCTGTCCTGGCCTCCTCCCTGCCAGACCTGGGGTGGCCCCAAGGTCTGGGGGTGCAGCCCCTACCCTCCTGGGGACATTAGCGGGGCTCGGGAGAAGGTGGAGGTGTGTGGTTCACCAGGGTGCTCCCTGGGGCTCAGGTGGAGGGACACTAAAGGTGCTCAGAGCATTGATGGGACTGCTCAGGTCTCAGTTTTCCTATCTGTGAAATGGAGGGAGAATGTATCCCAGGCTCTGGCATACAGAAGTGCTCAACAAACAAAGCCCTAGTGGGAGCAACCCCAGGGGCAGGAGGTGTATGTGACTCCCAGAGCCCAAACCTTAGAAGTCCTCCACTCCCTTGAGGCCCTAAGTTGATCATGAACATTAATGATAATATGAATGACAGCTATGTCAGACACTGTTCCAAGTGCTTTACATGGAGTAACATTTAATCCTCACAACACCCTATGAGATAGGAACTGTTTTTATCCCCATTTTATAGATGAAAAACTGAGGTTCAGAGAGGCTGAGTCAGTGGCCCACAGGTAAGTGGAGACCAGGATTAGAACCCAGAGCCCAAGCCCTTAACCACCATAGATACTGCCTGCGAGATGCACCCACCACCAGAGGTTTGACCCAGAAAGCTGGTTTGTTTACAAGCCACCCCACCACCATCTGGGGCTCCGACGGGGCCCCCACCTTGAGAAACCTGCCAGCAGGGATTTCCTTCCACTCCTCCCTGTGGCCCCAGCGCCAGGCAGAGCGGTGAGGGCGGTGGGAGCTACAGCAGGTTGCTGAGCAGGAGTGGGGCTCCCACCACCAGAAGCTGGGCAGTGGGCGGGCCGGCCGTGGGGAGAGCAGGGGTGGGTGGGAGCCA